GATAGATAGATAGATAGATAGATAGATAGATAGATAGATAGATAGATAGATAGATAGATAGATAGATAGATAGATAGATAGATAGATAGATAGATAGATAGATAGATAGATAGATAGATAGATAGATAGATAGATAGATAGATAGATAGATAGATAGATAGATAGATAGAGATAGATAGATAGATAGATAGATAGATAGATAGATAGATAGATAGATAGAGATAGATAGATAGATAGATAGATAGATAGATAGATAGATAGATAGATAGATAGATAGATAGATAGATAGATAGATAGATAGATAGATAGATAGATAGATAGATAGATAGATAGATAGATAGATAGATAGATAGATAGATAGATAGATAGATAGATAGATAGATAGATAGATAGATAGATAGATAGATAGATAGATAGATAGATAGATAGATAGATAGATAGATAGATAGATAGATAGATAGATAGATAGATAGATAGATAGATAGATAGATAGATAGATAGATAGATAGATAGATAGATAGATAGATAGATAGATAGATAGATAGATAGATAGATAGATAGATAGATAGATAGATAGATAGATAGATAGATAGATAGATAGATAGATAGATAGATAGATAGATAGATAGATAGATAGATAGATAGATAGATAGATAGATAGATAGATAGATAGATAGATAGATAGATAGATAGATAGATAGATAGATAGATAGATAGATAGATAGATAGATAGATAGATAGATAGATAGATAGATAGATAGATAGATAGATAGATAGATAGATAGATAGATAGATAGATAGATAGATAGATAGATAGATAGATAGATAGATAGATAGATAGATAGATAGATAGATAGATAGATAGATAGATAGATAGATAGATAGATAGATAGATAGATAGATAGATAGATAGATAGATAGATAGATAGATAGATAGATAGATAGATAGATAGATAGATAGATAGATAGATAGATAGATAGATAGATAGATAGATAGATAGATAGATAGATAGATACACAGACAGCGAAACTATTAGTATTAACGAGAAAAATGGCCCGTTGAGGAAAGGTACAACGGGCGCTAGTCTGATAGTGCTGTCTCTTTTCTCTAAACTAAAACCAACCCACCCCCCACCCCACCACACCACACCCCACCCCCCACCCCCCCCACCCCCCTCCACACACACCACCCCCCCACACACCGCCTCCCCCCCACCCCCACCCCCCCCCCCCCCCCACCCCCCAAAAAAACATGTCTACCGTCCCATTCAACGAAATATAATTATATACTTTTTCCAGTGTCCGCCCCCTCCCCGAAAATTCTACCCCCGCCCCCGAAAATTTCAAGTACCCCCACCCCTCTCCGGGGAGGAAAAAGTCTGAAAGAAACACTGGTGTCGCGCTTAGCCACTACCCGAAGAATTGCATTAAAGAAATTGCAAGAAAACCACTTTTTAGATTAGACACATTAATTAGGCGGTAATTTTATTATAGAGTATCGATGAAGAAATTTCTTTTGAGGTGGGGAGGGGGGGGGGGGCTCAGACGTTCTTACGCGGGGGGTGGGGCTTCGCCCCTACCCGAAGAATTGTATGCAAGAAACTCTTCACGCAAACCATTTAGATTAGACAAAATTTCCTTTTTATTCAATGTTTTCCAGAATCAATGACGTCATATTACTGTGTGCACTCTCCGGCTTGATATTATTTTCTACTATACGACGTCATACTTCGTTTTTCGTTTTATTGTGCAAGTTTTTAATTTCCTTGTGTTTTCTCTAGAGCGTTCTTGTCAGACAGAGCGATCTTGTCAGATAGATAGATAGATACACAGACAGCGAAACTATTAATATTAATTAATATATATATATATATATATATATATATATATATATATATATATATATATATATATATATATATATATATATATGTGTGTGTGTGTGTGTGTGTATATTTCATGGGGGGTGACACCACGAAGTGCCGCAAAGAGTGATACCCCACCTAACGACGCCACTGGTGAGGGGGTGACGTGATCAGCAACATACAGTATCTGTGATCAGCTAGATACAGTATTTTAGCACAGCAAAACAAGCCAAATATGTCGTACTAGGTAGTTGACACAAACGGTCCGTTCAAGTAAACTAGACTGTAACTCTTCACTGCCTAATGGAATCTATTCTCCTTAATCTATAGTGATAAGGAAGATTATAAATACACCCCACCCACTCCATTTACATATTAGTGGTGACGTTGGGGCGCATTATACAACACGCTGTCCTTTAACAATTTTCATTTTGGCGTAACAATTACTGTAGAAAGCAGTTAAATAACTCCAATTAACAAATATACTAACCAAAGCTAATTAACAAGCTACTATTATATATAATATATATATATATATATATATATATATATATATATATATTATATTATATATATATATATATATATATATACTAGGTGTAATTTAGAAATGCAGTTTAGAATAAGCTTTTATTTCTTTATCCCGTTTGGTACCCCTAGAGGGTTGGCGCCCGATGTCTGCCGTCCTACCGATGCCTATTCGCTTGTAATATGATACCACACGTCACCGCATTCCACTGCTAAACAGGTTGCGCAAAGGACGTCTGAAGGTTAAACAAATTGCGTAAAGCACATCTGAAGGTTATTAAAATATGTTTTTCTAAATTCTCTAGATTTAATCATGCGTGCTTAGAGACATTTCTAAAAATAGATTTCTTAGAATGTATCTATCGGCAGGTGCAGGATGCGCCCCCCCCCCCCCCCCCAGGTAAACCTTTTGTGCCCTGTTGTTGTCATACATTCAGCTAAAGTATGAAGATAGGGTTGCATAAATAATAAGGGAGGATTAAAAATTGCGCTGCTGAGTTCCCTGGAAAAATGAAATACGCCTATTCAATTTATTCAACATCCTGTGTATTCAGAGACGTTTTATAAATAATATGAACAGAACAGAACACTAAGCTATAAAAATAAAAGCATACACATAATAGGCAAAAAGATCTTGTGATTTAAGTTTTCTTTAATATAAGCTGTTCTAGAATCTGTTGTTTTCACGCCGAATGTAGGAGACATTACAGTAAACATTTCAGAACAAAAAGTTTTTTTAAAAAAGAGGGTCGTCAGTAAACGATATTATATTATTGGGGGGCTGTAGGGGTTTAGTGACGGTGAGTGACGCAGGGGAGGGTGAGGCAAAGAAATTGTGATAACATTTTTTTGCATTAAAAAATATGATGCTGTGCTTAAGAGTAGTGTCAATTTTTTAGAAGGCGGGGAGAAAAGGAAGTACTTTCTGGCACTTCGTGATAATATATGGATGATGACCCCAAAAATAAATAAAAGAGGTTTATTCAAAGACCATTATGTTATCATTTACATAAAGCGTGACTGAGTAATCATAAGATGGTGTTGAATGTGCCAGGTACTAAGGATGAAGCCCAAAATACATTTCAGCAACGGAGCTAAGTTGGATGCCACAAGAGAACAGAAATCAAGGAGAGATTGAGTAGGTATAAAGGTAAAGAACTGATGAGAAAGAATTGTCTATTGTATTGCGGAACTACAAAAGTAGTTAGTATAGGCCAAAAGAAGTGGGAAGAACCTTTTTTTTCGAAAAATGCCTCCTTGTCTCTTTACAACCGACGGGGAAAGATAATGTTGATTAACTTAGTGAAAGCTCATGATAGATTATTTTGGTTTTAGTCTTTATCTATTTGTCAGTTTTGTTTTGTTCTTTACACAAATTGAATGCACATTACTTACTTTACCAAGTGGTCCAACTTGTATTTAAATCACTAATTTCATGTTTGAGTAATCAAAATACGAAAATTAAAATACAATATTAGTCTCAACATTGATATTACTTTTTTATTTATGATTTTTGTTTAGTTTTTAGCCTACCAGTTGACAACCCACCAGAAAGCCCTGGGGGTCGCGACCCACAGTTTAGGAACCCATTATTTAATATGTGGAGATATGTTTGTGATAAGCCACTACAAAACAGAACTAATATTTGAGTTAGGGCTGATCAATACACAATGTTGCTCAATTACAGGAGAACTCGTCACACATAAGAACTGACAAGAATAGTTTTAGAGTAATCAACAGCATAGCAGCTTAAAGCAGAAAACAAAATGTGCAGGACTAAAATGTATGTATGTTAAAGGCACAAAAAGTATTATAACTTTTATTTGCCTACGTGACTTTATTTTCCCGAATAAGTACACAAAACAAATGATTAGAAAGATGCTAACGAATTATGCATACCCATCCTGCTATAATAATTATATCAGAACATGGTTACATCAGTAGCGTCAGAAGGCAAAAAAATGTGTGTGTGTGTGGGGGGGGGGGATTTAGATTCCACACTATTCAGAAGTTGACACCAAATCTAATAATCTTAAAATTACTTGAGCCGAAGCGAGAATTTTCAAAGGACAATTGTATTTACTTTACATCCTGGTTGTTCATAAGCCAGGTTAAACCAGACGCCTAGTGTCTGAAGACAACCAAGCGAAGACAAAACATCTAAAACCGGTTTTCCATGATTTCCATATTTGCAAAACCTTTGTTAAACATTTGAATTGACAATTTCTTTTGTATACACGTTTCCTATATACCATTGTCTTTTTTTGGGCGTGGATGGATGGATGGATTTTCATGTAAATCTTGTGACTCATTTTCCAACTTTTTAATTCAAAAAGAATTCTCATTTCTATTGAAAACGTAACAATATATTTTGAATATAATCGCCAGCACGTTACTCAGCTCACAATATCTTTCTGTCTTTACCTATTAAATAATTTATGTTCTAGCTAACTTACACGATAACTATTTCTACACAAAGCGCAACAATCTTATTGTAAAAGTGTTTATAAAATTGACTACAATCTAGACATTATAATCAAGTCAATGTAACCAGAACGGGATAGACTTGTATCTATAACTAAATCTGGGCGCTTGTTGCTGGATACTTGTTCAATAACTGCTGTCTGTCTTGATACAGACTGCAGGGTTTGTATAATTTACTTTCCTGTTTTGTAGTTTTGAGCATGGCCTTGTCTTTTTAGCGCACGGTTTCCCGGTTGTTTAATGTGACAATGTTGTAGCTGAATTTTAAAGTTGCCGCTTACTATTGGCAAAAGTAGGTAGAATAGTACATAATACAGAGAACAAAAGAAACTTGCTAGATCAGATGCTTACCACTATACAAAAGTGTGTGTAATTAAAAATAAACCGGGAGTGATCTCCCTAAAACTTTCTCGAATATTGTTATATAACTTAGAATACAGGCATGATTTTTAATTAC